GAGGAACAGTTTCTTCCCTCAGGCAATCCATCTCATGAACACTTATAACTGTGAAAATAACTGTGGAACACACACTATTTATTCACTCATACACTTATTTATCTAACACACATACTCGATCTACATTTCAATTTGCACATAATATACCTGTACATACAACTATCTATTTTTATATACCTGTACATACAATTGTCTATTTATATACCTGTACATACAACTGTCTATTTGTATATTTTTATTCCTTATTTACTTCTTTTTTTATTATCTGTGTTTTTTGTTCTGTCACTGTCATTCTGTTACACTGTGGAAGCTTCGGTCACGAAAACAAATTCCTCTTATGTGTAAACATACCTGCAATAAAGCTCATTCTGATTCTGAACTCAATATACTGCCCAGACCTAGTCCTAAACGCTCGTTTTTTGGGTCGACAGCTTATAAAAACGTAGTTCTGGGATTTTTAGCTTGTTTACTGTACACCTTGTCACATAGCAGCTTTTAGGCATTGCTCTGTTTTTTGATATAAATCGGAAATGACAAGGAGGCTTCCTCCCGCAATAGAAAGTCAATGGAGAACGTTGGATTGCACCCCCCGTGGGCGTGGTTTTCAGATTATGACACGTGTCGCTCTGTCTCTATTGGCTTGTGTGATAATGGAGCGCGTGCTCCGCTCACTCAGGTAGACGATACAAACAAACAAACCAGGAAGTATCTACGCGAAGGTATTTCGTGTCAATTATAAGTTTTTAACATGTTCAATGAAGTCCGGTATTGCGACAGGTGCTCGTATCTCTTTCTCAAGTTCTGCTTAATCGTATATGCAACAATTTTCTGGGTGAGTTTGTTTTTATTATATGTAATAAATCGGTGTTGTAGTGTTCAGTCAGCAAATGTACACAAGTGCGGTTTAAAAACTCGGAAACAACAGAGAAAGCAAATAATATATTTGAATATCAAAAGTCTACTAGCAGTAACATTTGAGTTTGTTTATATATTTTTAAAATTATGTTAGAATATCACCCATTAACCTGTTCCAGTGCTCTTGACCCCACCCTCCTCCTCGAATGATTCTTCTATACTGTGGCATTATGGGTTTGCTACTTACTGAATTATCGATCTTCTTAGTGGAGTAACTTGCTGTCGAACACATTAGATGTTGTTATGATCTTACAATTGTTTATCCATTGATTTATTAATAAATATCTGACGTCGCTGTAGAAAATATTAAGTGAAAATTGTAGATAGGCTATTGCTATACAACACTTTAAATGGCAACAACTTTCTTGTTAAAAGTATGTGTTCGATAACGTTATTGACATTTGAAAAAGATTATTGTGAGTAAAAGGCTGGTGTCAAAGCTGCTCTATGTGACAGCAGAGGTTTGAAATGCTACGGGCTGCACCATTGTGCTTCTCTCCGTTTTCTGTCAAGAGCAGGTCTGCACATGTTAAACGCATCACACTGACAGGGTAAGCGATGGGCCCCATAGGACCCCATTTCAGACCATTATGCCACCAGCCGAGGCTCTTGGTGGCCCATTGGCACCAGTATTAGGCTGACCCAGCGCACACTTTGTGCTGCTTTCATCACAGGTTTCACAAGAGACCTGGTGCATGTGCCTCACAAAGGGCTGCAAGGGTGAATTATTATTTGAGGATGGCTATTCTGCTCACGAAGACAAGGGAGTACATCTGTTCTTACCATCTCTGTTGATTAATGTGCACTCATGTTGATTGGTAAAAGGCATTCTGAAGTGCACTGTGTCTTATTTTCTTTAATGCTTACACCTTGCTTGACTTGTGCTAACTTTACAGATTGGCTTAATTGCAGTTTTGGATGTTTGGGAATAGTTTTTGAATTGTAGCTATATATTTGCAGATGTATGTGCTAGAGATTTTGTAGATTTCAGGACGCGCTTTGTTTTCATATCCATTTTAAATAATGTTTAAGCAATGTTTTTTGACATAAAGGTGCATGAAAATGAATGGATTATAAATTATGAGCACCCAGATGGAGCCAGCTTCTACCCGAGAGAATTTCTGTTGAAATGAGGTGGTGGTGGTCTCGGACTCCATCAGCCTTTATGCCGTCAGTCTTTGTAGTCTGCCAAAGGTTGACTACAAAAACTCTGGTTGACACTTTCAATTTCCCAGGCGGCCTTTGGAACCTTAGGGATCTAAACATTAAGACATTTCTTGTTTCTGTTTTCTTTTTTCCCCAATCTTTCAATATCTCATGGAATTAGTTGTTGTCATTTATGTTTTAACTAATAAATATAAAAATATTTAATACAATATATAAAATAAAAAACATTATAACATTTTGTGGTCTTCTGAAGTGGCCTTCCAGAGAGGACTTTACTTTTTGCTTTGCTTCTCTTCATTTATTTATTTATTTAGTTAGTTAGTTATTCAATTCATGTTTCATTTACACATCTAAGTTAATCAATGCTACTATGTTGTTTTATGTTTGTGAGTTTGGGATCAGTAAGACTTAAAAAAAAAAAATATATATATATATATTAGCTTTTTTTTTCCAGCAAAGACGTATTAATTTTAAAAGTGACAGTAAAGACATTTACAATATTAAGCAGCACAAATATTTTCAACATTGATAATAATAAGACATTTTTGGTGAGCAGCAAATCAGCATATTAGAATGATTCGTAATGATTCTGAAAATTCAGCTTTGCCATCACAGGAATAAATTACATTTTAAAATAAATTAAAATACAAAACAGATATTTTAAATTGTAATAATATTTCACAATATAATGGGTTTTATTTTTGATCAAATTAATGCAGATCAAATTAATGCAGAGCATAAGACTTCCTTCAAAAACATTAAAAAAAGAATGTGGTAGTGCAAGTTAACATTTAATTATATGTTAATAGTTTTATATTGCTTCATAATAAAAAATACAGTAACACGCATTTGTTTATTTTAAACACTACTGCCTGTTGTTAACTGATATGAATAGCCACCTTCTTCTTTTTTTTGCCCATTAGTCCACAAACCCTCTGTAAACTTATTATGATGGTAGATACGGAGGTGGACCTTTAATGTAACCAAACTGAATAGACCTTCATTAAATCCTGATCACCCACAGGTCATTTCATGTTTCAACTTCATTTCAATTTGGACAAGAATAAAAGTGGTATGAATGGGCGAGTCGATTACTCTGTAATTAGTCCATTCATTTCCACCAGTTTGACCTGTTTGCACCCCCGCACATTCATACAATTTAGCTGCTTCCCTCTGAAACTTGACCCACTGATGTCACTGTTGAATAGTACAGTATCATTTTAGAAAAAAATGTGATTTACACACTTTGAGTTTATAATATTTACTTTGTTTTATTTATGCACTGCCAATTATTTTCTCATCTGAATGCTTTTGAAGAGGCATCCTATGAAAAACAACCCGGTACATACCAATGATGCCTCCATTCATTTGAGGAAAAAGATTAAAACTTATCCATACAGACTATATGCTGGTGTGATGTTGAATGAGAAAGGAATGCATTTGCACAACAAATGTGTTGTAAAGCCCATATGCACACAGACATGTTCACACACACACACAGTGAGTTAACAGATGTGGAGTGGTTTTACTGCAAAAACCAGGGCAGCATTATGATGGTTATTATTTGATTATGCCATGTCACTGCAGTGTTTGTTTCTCAGAGTTACAGAAGTTAATTTGCTGTTCAATGTCAGTTTTGCACAACTTCATCTGAATATGCTTCTCCTAGATCTACTTTATACTACTTTTCATTGTGACACAGAAATGCTTTGGGGTTCACACCACATGCTTTAATTCTTCAATTAGTTAACCACAGCTCTGATCAGTAGAGTATGATAATATAGAATATATCAAAATGGAAATCACACTCGGCGCACCATTTTAAAATAAATTAAAATACAAAACAGATATTTTAAATTGTAATAATATTTCACAATATAATGGGTTTTATTTTTGATCAAATTAATGCAGATCAAATTAATGCAGAGCATAAGACTTCCTTCAAAAACATTAAAAAAAGAATGTGGTAGTGCAAGTTAACATTTAATTATATGTTAATAGTTTTATATTGCTTCATAATAAAAAATACAGTAACACGCATTTGTTTATTTTAAACACTACTGCCTGTTGTTAACTGATATGAATAGCCACCTTCTTCTTTTTTTTGCCCATTAGTCCACAAACCCTCTGTAAACTTATTATGATGGTAGATACGGAGGTGGACCTTTAATGTAACCAAACTGAATAGACCTTCATTAAATCCTGATCACCCACAGGTCATTTCATGTTTCAACTTCATTTCAATTTGGACAAGAATAAAAGTGGTATGAATGGGCGAGTCGATTACTCTGTAATTAGTCCATTCATTTCCACCAGTTTGACCTGTTTGCACCCCCGCACATTCATACAATTTAGCTGCTTCCCTCTGAAACTTGACCCACTGATGTCACTGTTGAATAGTACAGTATCATTTTAGAAAAAAATGTGATTTACACACTTTGAGTTTATAATATTTACTTTGTTTTATTTATGCACTGCCAATTATTTTCTCATCTGAATGCTTTTGAAGAGGCATCCTATGAAAAACAACCCGGTACATACCAATGATGCCTCCATTCATTTGAGGAAAAAGATTAAAACTTATCCATACAGACTATATGCTGGTGTGATGTTGAATGAGAAAGGAATGCATTTGCACAACAAATGTGTTGTAAAGCCCATATGCACACAGACATGTTCACACACACACACAGTGAGTTAACAGATGTGGAGTGGTTTTACTGCAAAAACCAGGGCAGCATTATGATGGTTATTATTTGATTATGCCATGTCACTGCAGTGTTTGTTTCTCAGAGTTACAGAAGTTAATTTGCTGTTCAATGTCAGTTTTGCACAACTTCATCTGAATATGCTTCTCCTAGATCTACTTTATACTACTTTTCATTGTGACACAGAAATGCTTTGGGGTTCACACCACATGCTTTAATTCTTCAATTAGTTAACCACAGCTCTGATCAGTAGAGTATGATAATATAGAATATATCAAAATGGAAATCACACTCGGCGCACTGGGTGCCATTACGATTCAAGGTTGGAATACATTAACTCAGGAGGTTTCACATAGCTCTACTTTGCTCTTGTTTGAATCATAATACCTTTAAATATAAAAAACATACTGAAGAATATACTCCTAGATTCTGTAATGTGGGTTGTTGAGGCCCTGAATGTGACTAAACATATTTTATGTACTCTTTTGTGTTGTTTTTAACCCATGTGCCTTTTTTAAAGGTACTAATATCGCTAAAATAGTGATATTCATCCCATCTGTGATGTAATTTTGCATTAAACCCAAATGGTCTGATTTGTGATTTGTTTTAGCTGATAGGGGGCTTTATTTTGGCCATCGGCATTTATGCAGAGGTGGAGAGGCAACAGTACAAAACGCTGGAAGCAGTATTCCTGGCTCCTGCCATTATCCTCATTGTGCTTGGTGTGATCATGTTCATCATCTCCTTCATCGGTGTTCTGGCATCTCTCAGAGACAACTTGTGCCTTCTCAAAGTGGTAAGTTTTCATTTTTCCATCAGACTCTTGCATATAGTAGTGCCCTCTTCAGCACATCACTTACAGTGGGGCAAATAAGTATTTGATACACTGCCGATTTTTCAAGTTTTCCCACTTACAAAGAATGGAGAGATCTGTAATTTTCATCGTAGGTACACCTCAACTGTGAGAGAACGAATCAAAAAAAAATATCCAGAAAATAACATTGTATGATTTTTTAATAATTAATTTCCATTTTATTGCATGAAATAAGTATTTGATACAATAGAAAAATAGAACTTAATATTTGGTACAGAAACCTTTGTTTACAATTACAGAGGTCAGACGCTTCCTGTAGTTCTTGACCAGGTTTGCACACACTGCAGCAGGGATTTTGGCCCACTCCTCCATACAGGTGTTCTCCAGATCTTTCAGGTTTTGGGGCTGTCGCTGCAAACCATATTGATTTTCTGTGCACAACACTTCATATTCTATTCTTTATAATAATGCTTTTTGAAGGAAGCTAACATAAAATATCATTAGCACAAAGAGACAGTTCACCCAAAAATTAAAATCCTGCCATTATTTATTCACCCTTTCATGTTGTTCCAAACCTGTATGACTTTCATTTTTCAGGGGAGCACAAAAAATATTTTGTTTTTGTCCTTGCATTGAAAGTCAGTGCCTAGTGTTGTTATGTTCCCAACTGACTATCATTATATGAACACATCAGTTTTACAAAATATCTTCTTTTGCATTCCACAAAAAGAATAGAAGTTGAAAGGGGGTCAACAGTAGAAAGCAGAAAACAGTCTTACTTAAATCACTTGTACTAAAAATAGTAGCAAAACAAACCACACTTTACTAGTTTATAAATGGATGAGTCATTTATCAATTTGAATAAAGCAATGATTTGAAGAACACTTTCTGATATGTCAAACATCAGTTCACCTGATGTAGAATTAACATGAACTTTGCAGACTTTTACTAAAAATGCCAGTCAAACCCAATATGAAAATTACCACTCTCATTTGCCTAAAGATCATGGTGAGAGCAGGGCCATCAATATATTAAATTCTTAAAGTGCAATGATTACCAACAGGGCTGAAAATGACAAACAATATTAAGAGTGCATCCTGTTTCAGAGCAAGAGTGGAAGTTTGTCTCATGGAGAATACTATCCTCTAATTTTCCGATTTCTGTTAATACAACTCCCCAATCACACACTAGCTAGAAAACAAACTGATGGGAATAGAATCATGTTATGGGCTATTTGTATTCACTGGTCTCATCTGCCTTGTGAAAAAGTCACTGGGTGCTGTACACGCATAGACGGACTCACTGCCCACATAGGGCAGAAATTGAGGCGTGTGACTGTTTAATTTGTTTCTGAGTAATGTGCGTGTGTCTCCGTTTCACTTGAGATCCACTGTTTACTGTTGCCTTGCAGTTTCTTTACATGCTGGCTCTCTGTCTCATTTTGGAGCTCGCCAGTGGGATTCTTGCTTTGATCTTTAGGAGACAGGTACAGTCATTTTTATCTCCTTTCTTGTTGCATGTAAAATGTTCTTGACAAATCCCTTCCTTCATAATAAGAAAGGTTTTTTTTAATGTAAATTTCCAAGTGGAAGACTGTGACATGGGTCACAAAAAGAAATGTATGCATACAGAATTCAGTATTGCAGTATTTTATAGTCATTTGCCATGCAATTGTTGGCAGTTTCTTTGTTATTCATTTCATTGGACTAATGGGATCCATGCTAATTTGAAAAAAGATAAGTATGAGTACTGTTACATGGCTGCTGGGTTATGACTGTTTTCTGATTAGATGAGGTTGTATTTCAGCGCCTGCTGAATGTGGAAATTTGTTTAACAAAATCATTTTGATGCCAGAGCATATTTACCATCATTGTGAACTTAATTTCAATCATATTTTTTAAGAAACGAATTTATTCAGATATTGCCGTTTTTTTTAAAAAGTAAAAAAAAAAAAGTTTATTTCTAACTGCTTCAAAACAAATGAAAGGAACAACAAAGGCTCAACATCCCGTGTTAAAAGAAATCATACATTTTGTTGCAAAAAACTAAAAATTCCTGTTATAACACTGACGTTCCTTTGTCCAATAGACAGAGGACCTTCTCAACAAAAACATCCGTAAAGGCATGGTCAATTACTATGATGACCTGGATTTCAAAAACATCATGGACTTTGTTCAGAAAACGGTAAGAGATTTGTCATGGACACATGAAAGGTGCAGATTTAATATGCTGACTTTTTAAGATTGCATTGAAAGTATCTTTGAACTTGATCTGTCAGCAAAGTTTCACATTAAGAAGCTATGATGGCCCAGACCTCTCTGCATGCATTCACTCTGCGTTGCTGTTGACGAACCCATTCTGTTTAAAATTTGTTGAATTTCAAACTAAATTTTCTTTAATTGTTGCTGAAAATAAAATAAACTGGTAATGTGAAATTTTCTTTTTTATAAAGATTTATATTTTTTATAATTAAAAAGCATGTGTAATCATTTGAATTTAATAATTTATTAAAACGTATTAAATTATTTATTATGTATTATTTATTAATTTATTAAAATACAATAATAATGCCATATGAAATTCTAAATTCTATTTAATTTTTCTAGATTGTTTTAATACATTTAATACAAATGTATGATGTAATGCAAATTTATTGTAAAAAAATTATTCATTGAATCAATCTTTTAAAGATTGTAATAAAATTAAAATAGAACGGTTCCTTTTTTCAACAAACAATGATTTATTTATTTATTTATTTCAAATAAAGGGCTTTTTTCTTTTTAATTCTGCCATAATTTTTTCAGGTTCAACAAAACTTTTATTTTTGCCGTTTATAATGAAGACCTTTTAGAGAAAATGTATTTGCAGATCGTTTTTAATCAAGTGAAATGTTAGTGAAATTAAATCTCAGAACATCTCATGTGGATGTCCTCGTAGATGCTGAAAAAACCATGAGCATCAATGACTTTGGACTAACAAATCCCTTCCTTCATAATAAGAAAGGTTTTTTTTAATGTAAATTTCCAAGTGGAAGACTGTGACATGGGTCACAAAAAGAAATGTATGCATACAGAATTCAGTATTGCAGTATTTTATAGTCATTTGCCATGCAATTGTTGGCAGTTTCTTTGTTATTCATTTCATTGGACTAATGGGATCCATGCTAATTTGAAAAAAGATATGTATGAGTACTGTTACATGGCTGCTGGGTTATGACTGTTTTCTGATTAGATGAGGTTGTATTTCAGCGCCTGCTGAATGTGGAAATTTGTTTAACAAAATCATTTTGATGCCAGAGCATATTTACCATCATTGTGAACTTAATTTCAATCATATTTTTTAAGAAACGAATTTATTCAGATATTGCCGTTTTTTAAAAAGTAAAAAAAAAAAGTTTATTTCTAACTGCTTCAAAACAAATGAAAGGAACAACAAAGGCTCAACATCCCGTGTTAAAAGAAATCATACATTTTGTTGCAAAAAACTAAAAATTCCTGTTATAACACTGACGTTCCTTTGTCCAATAGACAGAGGACCTTCTCAACAAAAACATCCGTAAAGGCATGGTCAATTACTATGATGACCTGGATTTCAAAAACATCATGGACTTTGTTCAGAAAACGGTAAGAGATTTGTCATGGACACATGAAAGGTGCAGATTTAATATGCTGACTTTTTAAGATTGCATTGAAAGTATCTTTGAACTTGATCTGTCAGCAAAGTTTCACATTAAGAAGCTATGATGGCCCAGACCTCTCTGCATGCATTCACTCTGCGTTGCTGTTGACGAACCCATTCTGTTTAAAATTTGTTGAATTTCAAACTAAATTTTCTTTAATTGTTGCTGAAAATAAAATAAACTGGTAATGTGAAATTTTCTTTTTTATAAAGATTTATATTTTTTATAATTAAAAAGCATGTGTAATCATTTGAATTTAATAATTTATTAAAACGTATTAAATTATTTATTATGTATTATTTATTAATTTATTAAAATACAATAATAATGCCATATGAAATTCTAAATTCTATTTAATTTTTCTAGATTGTTTTAATACATTTAATACAAATGTATGATGTAATGCAAATTTATTGTAAAAAAATTATTCATTGAATCAATCTTTTAAAGATTGTAATAAAATTAAAATAGAACGGTTCCTTTTTTCAACAAACAATGATTTATTTATTTATTTATTTCAAATAAAGGGCTTTTTTCTTTTTAATTCTGCCATAATTTTTTCAGGTTCAACAAAACTTTTATTTTTGCCGTTTATAATGAAGACCTTTTAGAGAAAATGTATTTGCAGATCGTTTTTAATCAAGTGAAATGTTAGTGAAATTAAATCTCAGAACATCTCATGTGGATGTCCTCGTAGATGCTGAAAAAACCATGAGCATCAATGACTTTGGACTATTTTCCAAATTCCATGACTTTCTGCTTTATAAATTCTGTTTTAATGACTGGATAATGCAATTCAGTCTGTGTTTTCCATGAAAAAAGGCCCTATATTCAGATGAAACTCAGATGTAATGCCAATTCAAATGTGCTTCTTTTATGACCATTAATTAGGTAACAACAACTCATTGAGTGCATTCAGAAGTAACACATGAGAATGACTCTGTACCAGTCCACCGGCTGCACAACCTTATCCTGAGCATCTGCATGTACCTGTTTAATATGAGTAATTTCAGCGAGCTGTTTCAGCAGTGCTCAGTTATGTACGGAAATATTACAGCAATTTCATTTTATTTACAAGATCCTTTTTGACTTGACTTTAAAGAAACTAATTGGAGCTGTGCCTCTAAGAACAGTCAGTTTCAAGTAATCATTCCTCACACTGTGATGGTTGAAAGGAAAAGGTTTAGCACATTCCATTTGGTCCATTGTTAAGATAAAGGGATTATTTTTCTGGTTAAACCACCTTCTGTGCCTGTCACAGCAGTCTTTCATTGTGGTTTGAATGTTTTTTTTTTTTATTCTGCCTTTTTTTTTAGTACTTGAAATTCCTTCTTTCTTTTTTTCTGTCAAACAGTATCCCGATAAGCTCAACATGACACAGTGGGTATTCGTTTCTGCTTCACAGGATAATTATCTTGAATAAGATTCCAAATCATAGAGGGAATATGTGTTCAATCTGAAGGACAATGAAAACATCACAGGGATCAAGTCTACATCGGAATATCAATTGACAAGATTTAGAGAGAGAAAGAAACTTGACAGTCATTTTGCACCCCCTCAGTACATCACACATTTTGGCTAAAATAAGCAGTAAAAAGTAATTCTGTTATTCGATTCAGCTTAAGGCATTGCTGACATAGTTTCTACATTGTTCACACTAATTTTTGTGGATCAAGTATTGTCTGTATCGGGCAACGTTGAAATACGTTCCAAATGAGCAAGTTCTCTCTGGCTGTTGTGTCCAGTGGCTTCATTCCCAGTGGTCTTAGTCATTCCTCATTTATTTGTTTTGTGACCAACGTCCCACGCTGCTTTAGTTTCTGTCTGCCTTCTGCAGTAGGATATAATCAAACAATTATGCTCTTTGTTTTCCTTAAGCTGATTGTCATAATAATTCTTGGACATCAGTATGAGATATGTTTCTTATAAGAGAATCAAAAGTAATTACCTCTAATGTTATTCACTCCAATTTAAATGAGGAGCTGGAATATGAATTGTGCCATTCATTGAGAGAAGACAGCCTAATATTTATTCATGTTTGCCTTCTGAAAGTTTTGGCTCAAGAAATGAATACAGAGAAGCTTAGATTATTCCTTTCACCTCTCATGTTTAATGCCCTGTCCAATTTAGCTGATGACACGCTAGCAGATTCAACTCATATCCAACCATTTGCACATTACCCAAATGTTGTTTTTAAAAATGCAATGCACAAATATTCTTCTAGTAGTCTTGTACATCACTGTTATGTTGAACCACTATGTGCTACTATCTTTTGCGGTGCCAGATGAGAAAACTACCAGCTTTTCCAAGTAATAGTTGTATTCCTCTGAAGCTTTGCAGATAAGCAATTTTTAATGCTTTGATTCTTGTTTCTCCAGTTCAAATGTTGTGGGGGAACCGACTTTACAGACTGGCAGGTGAACATGTATCATAACTGCTCTGCTCCTGGTCCACTAGCGTGTGCAGTGCCTTATACCTGTTGTCTGAGCAAGGTTTGTCTATAAATATATTTTTAATTCGTTTTGCTGTGTGAACATACGCACGCACACACTCTCTCTCTCTCTCTCTCTCTCTCTCTCTCTCTCTCTCTCTCTCTCTCACACACACACACCCACACATCCCTATCACACATACACACACACACACCACTTATTATTTATGTTTGCTGTTTAACACAACTCTTGCAAAAAGAGTCACATTTATATGACTCCAGTTTGTCATAAAGCACATACACAATACCATTCAAAAGATTGGAGCCAATAAGGGGTTTTTGTTTGCTTGTTGTTTTTTAAAGAAATTAATAGTTTTATTCAGCAAGGACACATTCAATTAAACAAATAATGCTGTACAGTATGTCTGTAAACTTTGGCATAGTTGTTGCTGTCAGCTGTCAACCTAAATAAACAGACCTTCTGTTTATAATCCTAGCCATTTTAAGTGCATTTCAAGTGTTAACTCATAAATTGAATGGGAGCAAATACTTCTAATTCTAAAAAATTCTAAATTTTGATCAGCCCTGGTTCACTTGATGGGGAAACAATAGCATTTATTGCTTTTGTGATTGAGTCTTTTATGAGGTTACTGTTTGCTCACTTGAAAGGAGACGTAAATTGATAAATGTGGGCAGATGAAAAGCATAAAAAAATGGTAACTTTGTGTTTCAGCATTCCTTTGTTAGTTTTGTTTGTCCCATTTAAGCTCTGCTCATATCTGTTTTCATTTTCACAATTCACTGGCACGTTCTGAATTTTAAAGGTGCAAAAACAATGGCACTACATCCAGTGAATTGGAAAAGAACTTTGCAATGAATGATGTGAACATCATATTTTTTTTAATTATGCATAAAAGCTAGCCATCGCTCAGTGAGGGATTGAGAGTTCGCTTACATGAGTGTCAATTTAGGCTGGAATATTTGTGCTGCTTTTGTCATGCCAAAAATGATGTCACTTCCTGGTGGAAGGGATCTGACTTTTGTTAGTTGAAGGCATAGTTGGCCTAATAATGTTGATAATTCTGTCATAATTTACTCATCCTCATGTCGTTTAAAACTTATGTGACTTTGTTTCTTCTGTGGAACACAAAAGGAGATCATTTCCAAACACCATTAGATCCCATTCTCTTTTGTTGAAAAGAAAAAATTCAAAATATATATTTTTTGTGTGTTCCAATCTGAAATCTAAAATATTTGTAGTAAAGTCCATTATATGACATATGATGGGGACATGAAAATGTTCTGCTTAACAGGAGTGACTGATCTGATCTATTTTTGTTAGTTTCTTGCACATCTATTTTCTTGTCATTCTCAACACAAGCCAGAGCTTGAATTGACATTTTCTTGAATATTAAAAGAGCCCATTTTTGGAGTTGCATAGGACAGTTAAAAATGGGTCCTCTTAAGTGCAATACTAAAGCAGGTTTTACAGTCAAAAATGACATTCATTTTTCATTAGTTTTTGAAAAAGCACAGAGCCTGTTTGCCAACATAAATATCTTCATCTGGGTTTCAAAGATGAACCAACGTCTTATGGATTTGGAACAACATTAAGATGAGTAAAAGAAGGCAGAATTAAATTTTTTGAGTGAATTAAAAGTGATCAAAATGTGTACAGTTACTCACAGAATGATATTAGCTTCATTCAGAAAGCTTAGTAGTCTTAGCACTGCATTAGTTTAAGACTAAAACCTCTGTAACTTAGAATGACAAAATGAGGATCAAAACTTTTAATGGAAACCTGTTATGTAGAGAGTAGGCTAGTTATTAATCCGCGCAAAGTGTAATTTCATACGTATGATCCAGCAGGTTGGGAAAGTTAAATGTCCTTTTCCCAGAGGTTTTGCTGTTTGCCAAATCAATACTTTAACACAATCTCACAGTTGATGAGAGAAATACAAGATAAAAACCTTAACTACTATATGCATTTAGCTGTTTTACCTGTATGAAAATATTAAGACAATCATTTCCTTGTGTATTACAGCCTTCTGAAGTTGTTAATACAATGTGTGGACACAAGGTCCTGGAGAAAGAGGTATGTGCCCTGATCACCTCTCTTTCTGACTATATTTTGTTACATTAGATCCACTTTCGTGAACGAAGGAATTTAAAGTAGCTTATAAGTGCATTCTGGTATTTGAAAAGTGCTCTGTGTCCTGTGTCGATCCACCTGGTATAAATATGGTCATTTGGAGGGGTCAAAGGTCTGATCATCTGAGAAGAGCAATGAGAACCTCCTTTGAATTTTAACAAGCTGTGAGGATATGCAGCACCACAGATGAATGATGAGCTGCCTTATAACAACATCCAATTATCTCTCAATACATTTTCAATTAATGACTTTATAACACTGGTTGTTAATGAGACATGCAGTGACGGCAGTTCATTTCTATTGCCTGAACTTTGCCCGCAGAGGCTAGAAAATATAGATGTGATCTACACTCGTGGTTGCACGAATGCCATCTTCATTTGGTTCATGGACAACTATAAAATCATGGCTGGACTTCTTCTGGGCATCTTAGTTCCTCAGGTAAGACTCATGCTTAGCAGTGAAGAAGGTTCAGATTGTCTACATAAGTCTTTTTAATTATCAAATGACATAATGTTTACATAAAACACACATGCTCTTATCACTTTTAATTAAAAGTCTATAAGCTTGCCAAGAACAAAAATTATAAAACCCTTTCAAAGTCTTTGAAGTGTTAAGAGTTGAGGCAGCAAATATTGCAATTTTATATGGTTTTCACAAGGGTGTTGGGTTTGTAGGGGGACAAAAAATCTAAAGAAAAATGTCACACTCAGACATAAAGTGTCATTTTGCATTGAACGTCACAAAATCAGTAGTACCCCAGCACTTAATTTTTCTTACTCCTTCTCAGAAAAGAATAATTCAAACAAAATTCTATTTAATTTTCACTCGATCCTGTTCTCTTTCTGTGCCTAATGAAAATAAATAATATACTACTACATTATTTATACATTCAAATTAAAAGCATAACTATGAATTAATCTCAAAAGTTTTTTTTGGAAACCCTAATATTCATATTAATTTATTTACTTTGAAAAACTTGCCAAATCAAAAAATGCCAATACATTTACTCCTCAAAAGACCAAGAAGTTGACTTTATGGGGATATTTAATCTGGTCTTTATTCAGGTTTAAATTCAGTGTAATTAAGAACCCTTTTATAAAATATCTCCACACAATATTTTCCACACTGATTAAGAGGTGGGCGATGAGAGAGGCATGGTTTGAATGAATTTAAATATTTCTCAAAAGAGTACCATGAGTAGACAGGGTTTCAACAAATTAGCAGTGTGAAAATCCAATTCACTTTCAAAAGCAGCCTCTAATGTGCAGCTGATTCTGTATGCCCCCTACTTTAACCAGTATTAAAGAGGTGCCTTGATGCACTGAAAAACACCACTGCACAGTCACAGGTGTAGGTTATCATAATCACATAGATTTTGAATCAATTTTGTAGTAATTTCAATAATGCTGCAACTTCGATAATAACCCACCAACACACAGAAAGCACATGTACACCAAATGTAATTTAATTCTGTCTTATAAAGGCTGCAGTACATTGGAGGTTCTGGGAACAGGGATACGTTTCTGTTAGGTCAGACAGTCCCTATCTGTAGGCTGTTTCACAGGAAATGATGCCAGATGATATAGAGCTTTATCTGCGATAAGCACAGGTATTGTTGAGATAGACATTAAAATAACATTGCCAGCAATGACTTCAACATTCACATAATATTGGATTATAATGTTTCCAACTGAACGTTTTTCAGTCTGATGTTTGTGTGTGTGTGTGCAAATATGTTTATGCGAGTGGGAAGGAGCGGTGGGACTTTTTTTTGCAATAAAATTCTTGAAACCAAACCGCTTTTATAATTAGTTTCATAGTTTTTCCGTAAATGGCGATTCACAGTTGGGGAAAGTCATTAGTCAGTCTGCCCACGCTGTGAACCATCTCAGTTGTTTATTACAAGATTTATATTACTGAATAAATTGTATAGCTGCAGTATGAAGTGTGCAGATTAAAGGGAAGTTCACACAAAAATTAAAATTAAATCATCATTTACTCACCCTTGTGTTGTTCTAATGCCGTATGCCTTTCTTTATTTTTCAGACCACAAAAGGAGAAATGTACAGAAATGTCCCTCTTGTGCTTGTCCGTACAATGGCAGTGAATAGCGTCCAGCATCAAGCTTTTAAAAAAGATGCAAATATATCACAGAATGGTCTGATGCAAAACGTCAACTCACCCAGGAAAAGTACACAAGTAGCGAGAAATCAAGATGAATAAAAATGTGACAAGGTAAAAACAATGCCTAGAAAAGAAAAAAAAGGTATATTTGTACTTTCTTAACGGAGTTGGATATCTCCAGACTGGAACTTTGATTGTCATGAGAGTCAGAATGACAGTTGACAGATGTGAACAAAATAACTTGTTTTTATTCATCTTGACTGTGTGCTTTTTCTGAGTGAGTCGGAGTGAACTGCTGCACTAATAGAGTCTCATCAGGATTTTCATTAAATACATTAAATTTCAGTTTGTTTTTCACCAAACCCTATTGTGTACCCCCAGGACACTTGTCATATGGGATCATTCTGTGATACTTTTGCATCTTTTTTTCAAAGCTTGATGCTGGTTGCTATTAGCGCGAATGAGACATTTCTTAACATTTCTCATTAGGCTAGTTTTAGGGTATTTTTGATTGGCCATTGGCCTAGTTTTCTTATGTAGACCTGGCAACCCTGGCCACACCTTATATAAACCTCAGTAAACTGGTCTGGTTTTGTCATAAGCATTGACGTACATGATACCATTATATCAAGACTAAAAGAGCCGCTTGAGCCTCAGAGGAGGACTGTTGAAAGATATGCATCTGAAAAGGGATTGAAAGCCATTTTCAATCTATTCCATTGTACGCAAAACAAATGGAAAGGGTTTCAAACCACTGGCAATATGTCCAGGCCAGACCATTTCACCAAATTCACCCCAAGAGTAAATGCATCAGGAAGTCCCAAAGAACCTCAGGGTGCCATCAATAGACTTGCAGGCAGCTCTGGCAACAGTTAATGAGAGTGTGCATCAGACAACCATTAAAAAACAGGCTGCACAAATTGTGCAAAATGGTCATCTGTTGAGGGTTTTGGAAGGGCAGTCAAAGTCCAGATCTCAATCCAGTTGTAATGCTGTAAGGTGCATGCAATGCATACAATAAACCACTCCAATATCTTTTTTTTTTTAAACAATTGAATTGTACAAAAGTAAACGTTTTTTTCTTTTTAGTTTTTTGGTGTGATCTTTACCTGGCTTTATATAACCCGTGTGGAAGATGCCATCGAGGAGTATGGACACTATATGGGTGGTCTGCTGGACGGCGGACCCCAGGAGACGAAGCAACAAAGCAAGTGGGCCAAATGTTGCAAATGCATGCCTTTGATTGACTTAGTGCAAACTCCTAAAAAGCCTTAAATTGGATTAAAAAAAAGGTTTATACAGTTACTATCACATGCTGTGGATGAAATGATGAAATTTGTAGCAATGCAAAACACAACCGTCCTGTGCTGTACTTTTGTAATATCAGCCACAGACTCACTGATGCAAGAAAGCCATTTTTGTACTGTCAATATCGTTTTTACAGTTACTCTCAAGATTCATTATTTCATCTGTCAGCTGAAAATGGGTCATTTCTTGTGTCAAAATTTACCGATACTAGGACTGACCTTCTGTCTCAGGATCTTTCTACTAAATCAGACCTGAAGCAGTACACTAAATATGCCACACATTTCCATCATGTCGACAGAGTCAGAATGCCTTTAGGTTTTACACAGCTTAGTTCTGCTAAATGTTTGGACGATTAGCACCCTGTCAGTCTCAGGTAATGAAATTCAAGGTTTCTTTTTTCCAGTGCAAACAGTGCTCTTCACATATGTGAATTTGTACCATAAAAGTCTATGAAAATGGCAGCTACATTGATCATAATAAGAGTGCTGTCTCTTTTGTTTGTACATTGTGTCTAAGATGAGTGAGATGATAAATCCTGACTATAAACATTGCCACACTTAAAAGCTGTGTAAATCCAATCCTTTAGTTTACCATATTTGCTGTAAAACCTAGTTTTAATGTCCATCATTTACATGATGTGCTTCTCATGATATTTTTATTTTGTCTAGATTCTTTTTCAAACTCAACATATTTCTTTCAAAGCTGCATGTGTACATTTATATATTTTAAAATGTTTTACCTTCTTTTTTGCCAAAGGGTGATGGTTTTTTATATTCTCCTCTATTCTGTTGTCTGCTGTATTTTTAATTTTTTTGTATGAACATAAAAGCAATCTAAGTAAACTGCGTATCTTGACTTTTTTGTATTAAGTACATAAGATGTTTGTGTCTTGTCATTAAATGACAGGGGAATCATCTAATGGCATATTTATTTAAAGTTTGCTACAGTTTATTATGTAAAATGCACAAAATATTGCATTCGTACAATGTCATTATTCACTGAAAGATAATTGCAAACAAACAAGTTGAAGTGAATAATATTAAGCCTTAACATTTTCTATTCTATTTCTTTTTTTTTTTCTTGGTCTATCTTTGGATTTTTCTGCTGTATGTGATTTCTATGACTATGTATTGACCTGACTGTTAAATCTTGAGTATTGCCCTGAACACAGTGAGTGTCCTGCTGAATGAATGAATGAATAAATGATGTTTACAGAGCTGTGTTCTGCTGCTTCAGTGGATGTTCTCATCTGTTCTCTGTCATGCTGCTTTTTGTGTTTGCAGGGGGACTGCGTCACTCTGAATGAATATTGCTAGACATGGACTGGTATCATCTGGTATCACAAATATGTGGCAGTCTGTGTTTTATCTACATTTTTGTTCAATTTCCTCCATCTATTTTAAAAAGTGCAGCTTTGGGCAAAGCTTAGAAAAAATATGATCACATTTGTTTGTTTTCTCTAATAACTAGTTGCACAGATTCTGATATTTGAGTTTCTCATTAATGCTTGTGGTTGGGCATTCTTTCTTTTTCATAACTTTTACAAATATGAATAGGAGGATCAGTTTGGTCTTTAAAAGAGATTCCATGCCCATAAATAAAATAAAATAAAATATATATTTTAGCTCCTATTCATATAGCCATTTAGATTACAGCTTCCTCAGTAATTTCTCTCCATTTTGCTTAATAGGCTAGAAAATCAAGATGAGCTCTTTACTGGTTTTACCATAAAAAAGTATTTTTAAAGTAAATGTTTCTGAATGTCAAAATAGGAAGAAATCGCATAGGTTTTTGCGGTCATCTCAACACTGCACCTTATAAAATATGTCTTGATTTTTAGTTTGTAAAAAGGACTGCTGTTGCTGCGATCACAAGCCGTTGTAGGACAAGTTCTGATCTGATCATTATGAGGAAGTACGTTAAAATCGGTCACACTTGCATACGTTTCATAAAAAAAGTGCATTTTGATAAGTTGCTTCTATTGCATGTGAATGAAACTTATAAGTTCTCCTATGGCGTGAAAAGAGGCTTTTAGAAAAGGTAGAGGAAAACACTTGACCACAGCCTGGGACTCAAAGGTTCATATTTCTTTTATAGTGAGGGTGAAAGAGTAAAAAAAGAAAAGACTTTTATGAAGTCATCCAGGAGGTGAGTGGTCTCCATATAGTGAAGGCATAAAAGTGTGTGTAATTTACCAGAATTTATAGTGCTGTCTTTATACACTGAAATGCAAAATATGTATCACTGTGACCTTATTATTATTGTTTTTATTTTATTTTAATTAATTAGTTTATTTTTTTCCCTTTCTTACACATAATTGGAAGATGATGGCAGAAACATGGCCAGGTCATTTATGTGCTGGTAAAATCTTCCAGAAGAACATTTCACCAAGTGCCCTTTTTTAATAAGAACCTAATTTCATTTAGGACGGTCTTAGGGGAACATCCTTAGGGGAAATCTACAATCAACGACTCTATATGCAATTGCTGGGGTTTATTGGGTTTTTGTTTTTCAAATGGTGTGCTATGCTGGTAGAGAGTGCTTCATGCTTATAAAAATATAAAATCAAGACCTCTTCTCACCTCTTTGTGTCTGTCGGCTCATGGGAATGTTTATAAGAGGGATGCCAACCCAGCATCCAACTTCACATCAGTCATTAGATTGAAGACAACTTCTTATTAACAAGGAGCTCATCCGTCCTTAGCACTCCCCTGCTGTTTACTAGTATATAATTAAGCTTCCTATCCAGGCTGGGGGAAATATGAATCAACACCCTGAGTTTAATGGTGCTATCTCTACAAATCAAGCAGTTGTTTGCCATGCACGAATCCTGTGAGGTTTTGTATGTATATGATTTCCAGTCTTTAGTGGAGAGTGTTACAACGTGGGACCTTCTAAATGTGACCACAGACAACCACACCTGTCATTTTCATTAAGCCAGTAAATTGTGCCCTTTCATGCTGTACCCTAGGACATCCAAAAGCAAGGCATACACTTGTGTTCATTTCAAGAATGCTTATACAGTGAAAAAGTAGGCCTTACCTGTTCAACTGAAATATTGTGGCAGCATTTGCTGATCACTTCATTATCACAAAATAATCTCCTTCAGGGTGACTGTCGACTATCCAACAGATGAGTGAATTGACCAAGACGAGCGACTGACAGAACCAAGGGTGTGATAGTTGCTCTTCTTGCATTCGTGTCTACCTGCTGATTCAGTCATCACAACACAATGTTTGCACTCTCTTATAAGTCACTTAAGAACGTGTCTGCCAAGATCATAAACAAGTACATGACCTAATTACGCTTGCTGGATGACATACAGTGACCTTCTGTGCCTTAAGGTCACAGCAGAAAATGAACCATCGATCATAAGTCAGTGGACAGCTGGATCACACATTCTTATCTGTGGTCAACCACATGTTTATCGACAGACGGTGCAGTGGCTCAGAAAGATAAGAAGAAACAATTGTAAGGATAGTTTAAAGAATAAATTGTAGATTAAACTAGATTTTTACATTTCTGAAGAAAACGGTGTAAGGAAAAGAAGTTTGTACATGAATAACCTGCAATCCCATTGCTAGAATCTTAGAATGGAGTAGCTGCCAGAGCACTGCTATTCTGTTGCTAAGATGTTCTAAACGGTAAGTGGTAAGTAAGTGGTTGCTCACTGGTCCAAATCAAAGGAGCCCAAATTTAAGGTCATTTAGAGGCTATTTTATCATTTGTCAGTTAAAGTTGGGATGAAATGAAAATTCACCCTATCTATTCACATTTCCATGCATGTATGAAATAAAAGTCTTTGCAATTAATCTTTATGATCATAAGTTTGAATTGTCTGAAGACCAAAAGACAATATGCATTACGATACCAGCCCACGTTCTCCAGCAGGAGGTCTTTATTTATTTAATAAGCTGAGGTCTTTCCTCATTTGAGCATGTTCTTTAAATAGACGAGATCATAATTACCTCTTTGGGCTCAGTTAATAATGAAGTAGATGAGGACTGTAGGTCTTGCCGTCTACACCCCTCGCTGATCTAAAAGAGGCTTTCTTGGACTCATTTATCATGTCCTTTGGCAAACAAATTAAAGTATTACTCAATATCAGTATCTGCGCAGTGTGCACACAAATCATTTGAAATATAAATTTCAGGCCATTGTCATAATAACTAAGATAAAAAATCAACACTGTGCTGTCTTAAGTCTTGAACACACAATAAAATGTCTGTACTATAAGTTAACTGACCTTCCCCCTTTCCCTAAGGTTATAAATGTTACACCAGCCTGCCATCAAGTTGTGTGTGTACAAAAACTATCAATATTAAACAACAAGAACATCTTTAAACTTTGACTGTTTCACAGGAGCTTCAGCGTGATGGTCGAGTGCCTCTCTGTGGCAAATACCGACTTCCCAAGGGTATGGAAATGGAGGGACAAAATATGCACTCATTATCCTGATGTGAAAGATCAATGCTATTTATAACCAACCAAAATCCTTTAGCGAGGGTTGTCTGAAGGGAGTGCTGAGGAGCCAGCAGTTAATCAAATGTTGTTGCCTGGTTAAATGTCTGAAGAACCCTTCAAACTCAATCACATGTGATTTCCTATTCACGGCATTGCTGATGATTCTTAGTCCCGTGTCGGTGGCATCTTTTGAGTTACTGGGCAGTTTTGAACTGATGTCGAGTGCCATGAAAGATGCAACCAAATCCAACAAGATCACTGGATTCTGTTTAAAAGCAAAATTATCCTGTTTTGACTTGTGATTTTCACAGGAATGCACCAATGCTGCAAGTTTGTGTGATAATGAAAAACCTCCTCACCCTTTATAATGATGGCTGCTGTGAGGACGCCTTTTACATTATGTAGATTTTGTATTTGTTACATTGCATAAAATAGATGGAAAGCTAAAGTGTGCAATTACATGTACATTTTGAGGCATGTAAATTTTAATGCTTTTAATGTCCCATGAATGGTATTGAAGCTCCTACAAATAAAAATAAAGGTTCCAAAAGATGTTTTTTGGTTCCCCAAAGAGCCTTACAGTGAAGACACATTAAAAGAACAATTGTTTTCTTAGTGTGAAGAACATTTAAAAAATCTAAAGAACCTTTTCCATTGTGTAATGGAAAAGCTGTAAAAGATTCTTCATGGAACAATCAAGGCCAAAGAACCTTTATTTTTAAGAGTGATACTGTACATACCTGGCATTCAATTTAAAATGTTGTTGATGTAACTAAATAAACCCACTGTTTATTAAAAATCATGCAGAATTGTGAAAAATGCAATTCTTTGATTGGTTATGCTGGAGGTCTTTGGAACTGTTGGAAGCCACCCAAGATTAAAAAGCATATTAGATTACTTCATAGTGAATGAGTGCCATGGAACTACAAACTATGGCTATTATTTTGGGCTGGTTATATCTACTGGACAGTGAGCATATTTAAATAGGCCCACTGCCACATATCACACTCAGTGTTACAGGTTTTATATGCAAAGGCTGAAGATTTGTTTGTTTGAATGAAAGGCATGAATGAATCCATTCAAAGAACCCTACACACGTTTGGAGTCCTACAAGTTTTGAAGTTTAATGCAGAGCACTTTAAGACAATGGATCAGATGAAAGCTCTTTACTGCCACTTGCCCTCTCATCACAACATTGTTTAGCTTCATGCTATCAGGAGGATCACAAATGTGAAATCCACTCGGGAA